CTCCCCGCTCGGTATTATAATACATATTTGACCTTAGTCTTTGATTTTCTCAACGTTGCAATTTAAGTAAAGAAAAATAAATAATTCTTGATTTTCAATTTCTAAGTGACGCAGGATTTATTTTTGTAAAGAGGTGGTGGATCAAAAAACAAGCGAAGAGCATAAAAAAGGTCTATCAAAAAATAACTGCAGAGCCATAGAATAGGTCATTATGAGAAGAAAATGTATAGAACATTTAAATTTTATGTATATGATGATTTCGTTGAAATAATCGAAACTGAAAGTAATTTATAGGGGATTTCGGCGAAATCGTATAGAACCATGGATGATTTTGACAAAATCATAGGGTCAAGTGGTGTAAAAATGAGACAAGACATATTTTGGGTAAAAATGAGACAGTCGATTCTTTACAGCTAAAAATAATTTGAATGAGATGCAGACAAGAAGTAATAAAGTCTACATATTGTAGATCCCAATTGCATATTTATTCAAACAACAATATTAATCTATACAAAAATAATTTAATACAACTCAATAAGTCGAATTTTTATGACCAAAACTTTTAAAATTGCCGCACAAACTTTGTTGCCACGCCGGTGGTAATTCATCGGGCGCGCCCGATCAAGGTCGCAGTTTGAAGACTGAGGTGTACCGGCGCTCTGAGAACGAGCCGGACAGTCTGCTGCTAAGAGTCATTGAGTGAGTAAGTGTTATTTTGCCGGGGTAAATTTAAGACGCCACTTTGGGTAAATATGAGACTCTTCATGGGGTAAAAATAAGACATTTATATACCATTTCCATTATAGGTTCTACAATACACAATGCCTAGAAATTACGTCCCAAAAGCGAAGCCGTACATAGACGAAGACCTAAAAATGGCGCTTACCTTAGTAAAGGAAGGTAATTTGTCTATTCGATCCGCCAGAAGAAAATGGTACAGCTTGCCGTGCAAAATATTATCACTTTGTTTAAATTACCACCTCACGCCACAGATATTTTGCAACCATTAGACAAGTGTTGCTTTGGACCACTAAATCTTAAATGGAATCAGAAACTTACAGAGTGGCAGAGATTAAATCAGAGACGTCTCACCAAAAGCGAATTTGCTGATATGATCTGCGAGCTATGAAACGAAGGGATTACAGAGGCCGTAATAAAAAAGTCTTTTGAATCAACCGGTATTTTTCCTTGCTCTAGGGAAAAATATCCAGTTGAACGATTCAATGCAATAAAGCTGCAAAAATACAACGAAAGTGTTCAAAACTCTTATTCTCTCAATATATACCAAATAAACTAAGAAGAGGAAAATGATGAGCTTGAAGCAAACAATAGCCAACCGGAAATTGAGCAAAATAGACCAAACGAAGATAAGAGTAACAAAACTGATTCATTTTAAAATAATAATGTTGAACCACAACCGTCTTCGTCTACTTCATTTCAGCATATTTTGCTTCAAAAAATCAACAAAACAAATCCTGAAATAAAACGAAGGCGCAAAATTAATTCCGGTTGTGCTCTTTTAACTAGCTCCGAATATTTAAATAGTATTAAGGAAAAAGAGTCCTCTTCGGACGTTGAAAGTATTTCTTATCAAGAAGAAAGCGACACTGAAAATATGACCTTACAAGAAGTATTAGAAGAAGAAATGGAAAAGCAGGAGATCGAGGAATTTAATTATTTAACAGCGGTAATAAAAATTGGGTACTATATTTTGGTAAAGTTTTGTCAAAAAAAAAAAGAAGTTACATTACGTTGCGCTAGTAGAATCAGTTATATAAGATGGGTTTTCTGTATCTTATTTGCGCCGAAAAGGTGAAAAATTTATATTCCCCCAAATACCCGAAAAATATGATGTACGAAAGGACGACATTGTAATGAAATTTCCTGCTCCTACAACTCATGGAGGTACTGCCAGAGTTTCACAAAAGTTGGTATTTTTGGTTGATATTTATAAATATAATGTGAACTAATTATTTTGTATATGCAAAGCGCAATTTAAGTTCCTATTAACTGTTAACAAATGTTTTTATTTTTTTATTTAATGTACGTAGAGTTGAATTTATTTTTTGTTTAATTTGCGAACACTGATTTGTGTTGTTTTAATTGTATTTTACATATGTTGTTCCTATTAAAAATTTGGCGTAGGGGATAAAAATGACCCAAAAAGTGTTCTGTAATATTATTTTTAAGTTTTTACTGCATTTTTTAAATAAAATTAAGAAAACCCATATAAATGTGTGATTCATTTTTCGACCAAGGTGTCTCAGTATTGCCCCAGACCACCGTTGTCACTATAAATGTCTGAAACTGTTATGTCTCATTTTTACCCACCCACTGTCTCATATTTACCCAAAGTGGCAGGTAAAAATGAGTCAAGGGTATTATTATTTGTCTCAAAACCCATAATAATTTCCTTGAATTGCTCGTTTTTGTGTTATTCTGCATCAAAATTTACATAGTATGGCAATTTTTGAAAATTTATTTTAAAAAGATACCAGTTCATAAATGAAAAGTTTTATAAAATGTCTCATTTTTACACCACTTGACCCTACCAATTTTTGGTGATTTTCGAAATAGGGTACATTTTGAACTTAGGTAAGTAGTAACCCTAAAACAATGTCACTGGCCTATTTAACAGAACGGTTGTCTTAAAATAATGGTCGTTTTTATTAAATTTCTTGTTTTATTAGATCACATAAGATACGAGTATTGTTGAAGACTCGTTGTAATTAAAGTCAAAATATTTAACATGTTTTATTTTTTAATGACATATTAAGAACACTTTAAACAAATAAACTCTTGCTCATCCTCCGACACTCCTGCGCAAGCATCATGTGCCCAACCTTTGCAATTCTGGCACTGACTTCATCCCTTCCCTGCCTTTGATTCGCCATACCGGCTTGGACAATAAATGCATATGGTGCTAGTGTCTTCCTCTTCACTACCACTTTTTGAAACCTCTACGACCTTTTTTTTACGGTTTTCTTTTTTCTAATAAATTTCTTTCCTTCGGCACTTTCAGTAATTTTTCTTTTTACCACTTTCAGTAATTTTTCTTTTCATGCTTTTAGTATTTTGTTTTTTGTCCGCTTCGCTTGCAATAAACTAGTCTTTAAATGGGTAACTTGCCAATTCTTCAGCATGCTGAGATTTACTAACTCTATTCTGTGAATTCTGGTTTTTGTTTTTGCGGGCATCTGACTTTGGCTTTGGAGAAACTTTCAAGATAACATCTTTGAACGAAGTGTAACTGCAGCTCGGCTGTGGTTTCTTAAATAACTCTTCAGTTTCAGGTTGGTGGTTATCTGGGATATTTCCCTTGGCCATCTCATTTAGTCCTTCAGTTTCTTCCTCCACCAGAACGTCTGTGCCTTCAACAGGCAGAAAATATTGATCTGGAAATATTTTATCGTTAAATGGATAAATTCCTATGGTTTGAAAATCTTTTACGGCTTTCTCCATAGTGGCAATGTGAAGAAATGCCTTCTCACTCCTTTGCATGTTTTAAAGACCCAAACACAGTGCAATCAAGGGACTGTACTCGATGACTGGTATGGGTGGAAGAGAAACCATTATAATATTATTTTCTCTTGCTTTATTTATTGCAGCTAACGTCCTATGACTGTTGTGATTATTGAGGATTAATAATATTTTATTGTTCGGGTCGGGTTTCACATGGTTTATAAAGTGGTCCAAATTCTTGACGAAATGATCAGAATCCATCCATCTAGAACCATTCGCACCTGGTGAATATCCTTTCATGGATAATGGGTTCATTCGCTGCCGGAGAAAAATAAAAATGGTGGAATGTATGATCCTGCGGCTGAAATTTTACAAACTGCAGTGACATTTAAACCTCTTACAGTGCTCACTATGCGCCCTACTTGTTTCTTTCCTTTTTCTGCTAATATTTTTCTGGGAACTGATACCAAATTTACCCCAGTTTCATCGATGTTGTATGTCTGGTCGGGTCGAATATTATTGGCCTCCAAAACCGATCGTACATCATAGAACTTCGGGACTTGCGTATTATTAAATCCTGCCTCTCGTGCTATGCTAGTAGACTCAGGAGCTCTAATAGCGAGTTGAGGATTTCTTTTTTTAAACCCTGATAACCAGCTATTTTCGCAGTTTTGTTAAATGGATGATTTAACTGCATATTTTTTATCAATTTAAATACAAAACGACGAGCATCTAATGGTGTTATTCCATAAAAGTGCCTCTCTAAGTCCAAAATATGCTCCCCTTTTTTGATGTTCAGTAAACATTTGTTTGAAATGGTCGTTCCTAGGAGTTCTTGGCATTAATGGGTCATTGTTCCGTCACAAAATACTCTTATGTATTGTAAACCGTTTAGATGCTGCTGGAACCGAAATTTTCTTTCGGTTTATCATTTTCAATGCTTTTCTCATTTTTTCCTCCGTCCACGAGGGTTCTGGTCTTTTTTTACGTAGTTACGTACCATTTAAAAATAACAAACATTTACGATGTAGGTACTTAAATAAATGGTTGTAAACAATAAAAGGGGTCACAATTAATAAATGGGGAACAGAGGTTGGCATTGGTCCTCTGTACCCCAGACCGCACTGGTTCTCTCTGCCTCAGTGCCTTAATTAAATTCAAAATGGCTGCTACTTGTCTGAAGGTTTGTTTATAAATACAATAACCAGCCTATTTTTTTTAATTAAGTATAATAAAATATAATAATGTATAAACAATTACGCGAGAATCACACTTGATCAAGATATAAAATTTAACATTACTTACCTTTAAAATCACTTTTTGTTTACGATGACCTTCACACTATACCGACATTGTTGGGACTGAAACACTATAGGAAATGCACTGCTATCTTGCTATTTTCGATAATAACCAAAAGATGGCGCTACCTATAATAAAATAAATCGAGTAAACCTATGTGCCCCGCCAGTCCCCTATCCTCACTTAAATGGATATTATGAATAATACTTAACTTAACTTGTCTTTTCTTTTTTTTTCAGTACAACAGATGTATGGATCAAATGGTGCTATGAAACCTAATTCGGGTAGCATGACTACTTTGACCGTCACTTCAACAGGTCCTGGAAGCATCCACCAGCAGCCGGGAAACTGGTGCCACCCTGCGGGCCCACTCGGGTTCCGCCTCAGCACGCCGGCCCGGGCCCGCCTTTACTGCCAGGCAAAGTGAGACTCGCGCCCGCCAATGGTGGCGGCGCTGACACAGATCACGTGTCTCTAAGCCAGAAAGACGAGTGGTTCGTCTAGCAGTGGGTAAGATTATTTTTAATTTTTACTTTTACAGTGTTGTCAAATAACGACAAATTGTAAACAAATTTAAAATATTAAATTTTGAGTTTGAGAAATAATCACATTTTGATTATTGGATTGGTTATTATCTTAATTAAACTTTACTTATTTTCATTTTTTAATCTAAAAATATTTAAAAGTATCTCAAAGTCTATGTCTTATTAATTATTATTATTATTTTTTTGTGTCATCGGCATCGACTGCTAAGGTCATCAGCCTCGTGTTCTGTGTAGGCTTTGTTACTGTTTCCCAGCGCGACTTTAGGAACAGCATTGTTAATTAGAACCCAACAGTATTTACAAGCTCACTTTCGAATTTGATAGTACCGAAACTGGTTTGTAATTTGGTTTGGTTGTGTCGGAACATTATGCTTTTGTACAATTTTTAGTCCAAACTCTGTTGGAACACCAATTCTAGGATGCGCAGAATCCGGACATTACATAAACCGACTTTATATAGGTCCAGCATAACTCAAAAGTCTGTCTAATATTTTCCCTACAACGATTTCCAATTTAATTAAAATTATGCTTTTAATAAAATAGTTTCAGGATATATTTCGAGTTTTGAATATCAAAAATTTTTCAAAAATCGCTGGCAGTTTCTGAGATATACAAAGAAAGAGTTTGGAATTGTTCAGTTTTTCTTGAAAGAATGGGACTCACATACCGACAAATAAAATCATATAAATTCTGAGAGGTTACTCTTCTATATTTACATTAAACTTTCGCTCCCGACAAATAGATGGCACCAACGGTATTAAATAGTGCAATATTCATATTTATAAAGGGCCTTAAACACTTTTGCGGTAAACGGGTTTATTTCTAATTTAATAACATGTGGATATTTGTTGAGTTTTATTATAAAATATAATGTACATTTATGGGAACGTAATTTGACACCTTCACACGCTGAAACAAAAAGATGGGGTTTCTGATATTTTAAAAATTTTAAACTGTTTGTAATCGTCCCCATGTGTTTTTAAATTTTGACTGCAACCGAAGATGGAAATAAAGTTTTCCGAAACATATGTAGTGCGGTCAGTGGCGGATTTTGACCAAAATTTTGGGGGTTCACAGTAGCAGAATATAGATCCCAGTACAGATATAGGTAAAAAACTGTCAGTGGTTTAGAAAGGTATATTATAAACTTTCTAAAACACTAAAAGTTTTTTCATACATCTGTACTGATACCTACATTCTGTCACTGAACCACCCCACGAGGCTCCACTGAGTGCGGTGCTAACAATATAAAATAAAATTTATGACCTATTACACCAAAGAAATTGTTTATTTATATAAAATTCTGCTACGGTCTGGAAATTATCCTTATTCAAGTAATTTGTTCAGTTTTGTTGAACAATAGGAGTGTGATAGTACCTTTAGAATACGATTTTCTCTAATTTTGGTGTAAAATTGTTGAGGACTTGTTGAGTTTTTCTTTTTTTCGCTTCTTTTTACACCACAGGCATGGGCGTCGTTACACAATTCTACAGAGAGGGGCAAAATTTTGAAAAAAATTAGAATGTTTATTTGTTGAAAAACAAAGAAAATAAACAATAAAAGAGCAATACAAATTAACAAAAGTTTCTAATAAATAAAATAACAAAAACTAAAATAAAAAAAAAACAAGAAACTTAAAAGACATATTTTTAACAAGTGTAAATTAAAAATTTAAAAAAACCGACCTCAAAAACGTGCAGATGCCATCCCAACATTTTAACCAAATTTATATGGGATCACCCCTGATGTACCCCCTTTCTAACAAAAAAAGAATCATATAAATCGGACAAGGTAGTAAAGCATTATCGCTAAACATACATACATAAAAAATGAAGAGTTTGAGGATTTTCTCATAGACCCAATTTTTAGATTTTGACCAAATTTATACGGAACCACCTCTAAAGTAGCCCCTTTCTAACAAAAAAAGAATTATTGAAATCGGACACCGTGTTAAAGAATTATCGCTGAACATACATAAAAAAAAATATCGCGACGAATTGATAACCTCCTCCTTTTTTGAAGTCGGTTAAAAAACAAACAGAAGGTGTGAAATAAAAGAAAAATATGAACAAGAAGACAGAGCCATACATAATATTAAAAAAAAAATAAAATATTTATAGAAACACAAAAACAAAACAAAAATACACAAACACGTCGATGAACACTGGGAAACCGCAAATTTTTAATTTCTTCTTCCTCTACCCAAAATAATCGATAACACAAAACATGATTTATTTTTAGTTTTTTGCGATTATTTTGCGATGTACGCTGATCAAACAAAGCGCAGTCAGCCTATTTTCATTCATTATTCGCTCTGTGTGTGATAGCAGCGCCAACAAATTCATGAACTAACGGACGATATTTGCGTATACTGACAATACAATTTTTAATGGAATTCCTAATTAAAAAATATGTATTTTAATTTTAATAAAAGTATATGGATTTGTAAATCAAGCGAAAAAATTAATTATTATATATTTTTATTACTTCAGCTAAAAAAAAATGTATATCTTGCCTATGCCTAATAAGTTGTCTTAGAAGAATAGGTTAAATAATGTGAAAATAGAAACATTACAATTATATAATAACGTAGTATCAAAACGTATTAACAAAAATAATTGGTAAATTTGCGATTGTAATTTAAGTGTTCTTCATTTTTATTTCGAAAAAACCCATAGAAATTATTGATTCAAATTGGTTTCCTATCAATAAGTCATAAGATTGCACTTCAGCCCCATACAATAATTAAAGGCCGAAATCTAATCCTTGCTGAACATTTAAGAGTTAAGGGATGTTGAACAACATTGTAAAATAATAATTTATTGTTTATTTAAAACCTTTCAATTTTCTGATGTCTACTATTTTCCAGTATTACTGTTATTATTACAAAAATAAAGGATTTTTCTTCTTATTCACTCATATTGGGACATGCGCGGACGTGCTGCTCATTGATTTTGATTTTAGCCTTTCTACACTTCATTCAATTTTTTTTTTGGGAAACATAAATTATTTATTAGTGTAGGATAAAGTTTTCTGTTAGGTCAGGATAAAAAATAGTATGTAAACCACGGCAGTAAAGTGGTTTTCCAGGCCTCACAGTGTCCAGGCTCGGCTCCGCCTCGCCTTTCCATATCTTTACTTGGCCTAGAAAACAGTCACTTTACTGCCCAGAGCAATAGATCTAAATTCTCAACTCAAGCCACAAAACATCCACAGAAAAAACACCTTTGCTTGAGTAGTCAAGCAAATAAGTTTGAGGTTAAGTTTATTTCTAAGAGACAAGACATTTTAACAAGTGACGTCACGGCACGAGATGTTCTGTTTACCGCCTTTATTCCCATCGGCATGCCGTCGAGCCAGTCTATGAATCATAATTAGTTGTGGGAGATTGATTATTTTTGAGGACAGATACAATTTTCCTATGTAAACTATAAACTGTAAATGTTTGAGTGGAGGGAAGTTATATTTTGGAAAACAAATATGCTCATATAATATGGATTCAACTTTTTTAGGGTAAGTCGTTCAATCCATTAATTATATATTTCGCCTATTTATTTTCCAAAATATAAACATACTGTAGATGTTTAAAGAACCTTGCGATCTCCAAGAAAGTCTTTATATTCCTTATAGTACGAAAAGAAGTAAACAAATTTTTTACATCTTATTTTTATTGTAAAACTACAAAAATAATAATATAATAACCAATGTATAATAATAACAAATATAATACCATTTAATATATTTATAATATAATATGGATAATACGGATATTCATTATTACACGCAATGTTAAAAAAAAAACAAATTTTTTTTCTATTTACTTTTTAAGGAATGTATTGCATTACAAAAATTGGGTTTTACACTTGATGGTAAAATTTATTAAATACATTCGATTTTTCTGTCCAATCTGCCGATTATCTTATTGTTTCTAAGACAATATCACTTTCGAAAAAAAATTGAAATGTTTATATCAATTCCACTTTCTCTAAGAACCGTTTTAAGCCATCGGCTTATAGTTTGTGACGCAGGGTGGTAAGACTTTTTATAAGTAAGAAAAAGATGTTGATTGCATTCAGTTCGATAATTTTTATGCCCAGATAGTGAATTAAAAATAATGCGATACACAGCTCTGGTATTAAATATATTAAAATATGGTAAAACTAGTAGAGGCTATTCTCGATTAGGTGCAGAAGTTTTTAATAGTCCAGACATTTCTTGGAAGTTAAATACAAAGCCCAAAAAGGTGCTGTTGAGGGTTTTAAGTTTCTTTTGTCTCTATTAATTAAAAACCCCAATTCTTCAAATACTTTGTTAGCAAAAGTAATATTAAAATTAAAATGTCGTCTAGGTAAATTTCGGATATTATACTTTTTAATCGTAACTTTGAAATCACTGATTTAAGTAATTTAGTGAACACGTATGGAGCTGTATTCAATCCAAACGCAAGACAGCAGATATCAAAAATATTATTGTTAATATAAATCTTAAGTATTTCCTATGTAGTTATACAATTGGTACTAAAAAATAGGCATCTTTCAAATCAATAGATGCCATATATCAATCTCTATAAAGAATATTTTAACTACTCGATGATCTTCTAATTTTAATGAATTATATGCATTCAACTATTTAAGATTTAGTATAAACATGAAGGAACTCTTTAGAAATTAATTGATTTTTGCTATATTTACATCTGCGTATTGCATCTAATTTTAGAATTTATGCTCTATTTTAAAAAACATTATCTCTCGAGGTGATAGTTTTTGTTTAGGCACCCTAAAAAAACGAATGTGGTAGCCTTTAGCAGTATTTAAAATAAATTTGTTTGCTGTAATTTTTTCTCATTTTTGAATAAATAATTTTAATCGCCCTGCGACTTTTCTTACCGTGAGCGGCGGCTGTTCTGAAACCAGGTTTGTTTCGAGTTCTTATACTCTCTCGTTTTTCTCTGGAATCGGATTGATT